CAAGTCAATTAAAATGAATTTTTAAGGTCATACTTTGCAGTTATCCCAAAGCTATCCTGTAATCCTGCAAAGGTCTCTGAGTCAGATCTAGGTTGAGATGAAGATAAACCCAAGTCCTACTTAACTGTTACACATTTTATGAATGACACCAATAAAAAATAGTTTTAACCAATTTGTTTTTATTATGAGAACCATTTCCAATGAAATCTTAGAAGGTATACTAATAGAAAACTACAATATAAACTGAATTTCTCATCTCCCACTTTATTTTTTACAGAGTTAGGAAAGAAACATAGGAATTCTTGAACAACCACAAGTTAAGGAAAATTGAACAATATATTGCCTTAGAAACAACAAAGACTTCCATATGTTTAGGACTGGACCACGACATTTTGCTTCCTACGGTGTGCCAGCAAACGATCCCCACTCTTTTAGTTTTTGGTTATCTTGGACCACTTACTGGTCATCAGTCTAACGTACATAACTGGATTGTTGGGAGGATAAAAAAGGAGGGTAGTACTTTATATCCTGGAGACATACATTGAATTTGCATGTAATAAAACAATTTAAATACATATTTTATAACTTAGAAAAGTACAACTGTTTTATGCATATTATCGAACACTTCAAAACTAGCCTCCCTGTGTTTTAAATGGCCCATTGTGTACTGTATAATGCTGACTGTGTGCACATGTAACATTCATAAACATTAAAGGGATAATACATCCAATGTTGTTTTAGAAATTGGTCCTTGAGAGATCCTGGGAATCTCCTTGAAGATGAAAAAAAATGCCCTTGTTTCTCATTTGTATTCTTGCAAAGGAGCAGGTGGGGTTTAGTGGGGAATGTATACCTGTCAACCAATGCCTGGTTCTTAATTATCTATCACAGAAGATGTGCCCCAGGGGAGCTCTGTATGAAGCCTTTGTAGATTTAAAGCCCATCTTTAATTTGATCCCTAGGGATAGACCATGGAAGAAATTAGGAATATTGTAAATAAGATGGCATTAATGTTTATCAAAATGCTACATGTTAACAGCTTCAGAATTAGGGGTACTCTTCATTTGTTGGGGCACATCTCCACTAAGAGAGGTAAGCATGGGATGTTCTTTAACCCTCTTCTTTTCTTTTCTTCTTTTCAATCTGTATAATAACTCAGTTGTGCAGACCTGTCTGGCCTAAATCTTCATCCTTTTGATGAGTAGAGTGGTTCCAATTTAAGTGT